CTTACTCTTCCAATTGGCACACAAAACTGAAGAGCTCTTGTATTGGCAGGCTGGGAGGGCCTGGACTTGGACATAGTGTCTTGGTTTCACTTGTTTTATTTTATTTTATTTTTTAACTAAAGCTATATAAAGCTTGTGGATTAAACAAAATAAATTTCTGAATTTAAAAAAAAATTTCCATCTCTCCAGATTTCAAGAAACTGTCAAAGAAATAAATTTGCTATTAGAGATAGAATTCAGCAACATAAATGGAAAACATATGTCTTTGAACTGAATTGGGCTTAGAAATCAGGCCAGTACAAAAGAAGAGACAGCTAAGATTTCATGTTCTCATCCTAGAGAGGGGCCTTAAAATCTCCTTCATTGCCTGCTCTGAGTAATTGCCTATTTGTTGGAACACTAAGCAAATGTCTCTTATCTCACCTTTCTTCTCAAATGAATACAACAAAGACGCTGAGTATAAATGATTGAGCCCTGCTATAGTAAATCTAGAATTGACAGAGCCTTTGAACTCTCTTATACTGCAAATGCAACCCAAACTAATTCATGCATACTCTCCCTAACTTATGGCATCTGAAGGCTCTCTTATGTATTTGGCACATGGAAGTGAAAGTGGCTTTGCTACAGCAGTGATCATTAGTGTAAATAAGGGAGCAGTAAAAGTACAATAGAGAGTCCATCATTCTGGAGGGTATTTCACATAAGAAATGGTAAATCACTTCCAGCTGCAATGAGGAGGCAGGACAGAGGTAATCCCATTTTAAGGGTTCCCATCTCCAAAAGGCCAGAATCTTAAGTTGCTTGACTTGGAAATATGGCCAGAAAGGTCTTGCTGAAAGTTTTATTCATACAGTAAACACAACCGAACTTGGCACTTGGCTAGCACATTAATCCGCCTGGAGCTCTTTGCTTAGAATGCAAATGTAGGAGGCCCTAGCCTCCAGCACAACAATAAAACAGCTTTCCTTTGAGAAATGCACTGTAACCTTTGGTTCTTATTCATGTCCTCTGCATTCCAATGAGAGGTTTGCTTAACAAAAGTGTATAGTTACTAAATTGTATGAATAGGTTGTGAGTTGAATCATATTCTCCATGTGATATAGGGTAGTGTGAATGTGCATGATTTGAAAATACAGTCTTTGAGTTATCCGGTTAAGATGGAGTGAATTTTATTAGGGTAGGTCATATTATGAAACAACTAGTTTTTGTTAGAAAGTAGACATGTGGGGAAGAGAAAATCATATGGAGATGCAGAGAGATGTAGTTACAGGGCAGATGGTGCTGGGAAGAGGGAGGTTGGTGTTATGGGATATTTGTACATTGTGTGAAGATGTATTGCTGTGATTGATAAAATAATAAACTGAATCGCCAATAGCTACATGAGCTATAGGTGGAATTTCCCAGAAGAGAAAGTAAGAGGAGGAAGAATTTAAGTACTAGTAAGCCACCAAGGAGTCACAGAGAGGAAACAGAAGGTGCAACATGGAAGATAAGTAATGCCACATATAGAACATAGATTACTACCAATGGGTTCACGTGTTATAAGAGCTAGTTAGGAACAAGTCTAACCACAGGCTAGGCTTTCATAATTAATAAGAAGTCTCCGTGTTATTACTTGGGAGCTGACTGGTAGGACGGAGAAAGACTTGTAACAGGTTGAGATTGCATTTGTGCTGCCATGAGTTTAGAAATCCCAGAGAATTCCAAAAGCTAGAAGTGGTGAGGATTCCTTCCCAATAGGCTAGAGAGAGGGCACTGAAGGCACATTAGTCTATGGCATATTGCAAGGGCAGCCCCGATAAATGAACATGAATGATTAGTTACTGCCCTTAACTACAGTTTCCATGATGAAGGTTCACCTAACCAATTGAAACTTTGATGCTAGTGGAGGTTGGAATACAGCAGGTCAAGACCCAAATTATCTTGTGCTGTCTCATATTCTAGATAACCATGCATTGCCCACCTACATGGATGTAATGACTTGTTGCTGTTGAAGAAATCTTTTTTGGATGTGCAGACAACCCCCTCTCTTCCTGCTTCCAGCAATCTAAAAGCTAAGATGTTATCATAGGGGATCTGAGCCTAGAGTAGAAGTTTCTCTGCGTGTCGCAAACCCCAGTGTATCTAGTTTCTTGGTTTGTGAATTTCTTGTTTCTGCTATTATAAAAAGCTCCATGCAACTGTTAGCACATTGGAACATGGAATGTAGGAAGGAAATCTGTGTTCCTGGGCCACGGCCATTCATATTTGACTCCAGAATAAACTATCTCTTATTCCTTTTGGCCTGAGAGCTGCATTTTTTTTTTTCACATTGACACTTCAGATAAAGGAGCTGGGAAATGACACTATATTTCTGGCACTGAATATAAATGACTGTCTCTTAGGACCTGAAATTTCATCCTGGCCTTCGGTAGTGGGAACTGCCCAATGGGGGAAAAAAAAAGGACTTGACAAATCACGGTTCAAATTCCAGTGCAGTTATTTTTCCTGGCTGAATTATCTCAGGTAAGTGATTTCACCGGAATGCACTTGATTTCTCTTTGAAAAACATAGACATAAAACAGCTACAAGCACAAAGGTGTTTTGTTTGTTTGTTTCTTTTTGGTTTGTCTTAAGAGTAAAGCCAATAGAATATATAAAAACCCTTGACCTTTCAAAATACCAATGTACGTAAGTCAGCTCCCTTCGTTTAGTCTTTTCCTTACCACGCTAGCACTTTCTCAACAAGCAGCCATCAGCTAATCTCCCATGAGGGTCACCTGATAATAGCTTTACTTTTTATATGTCCCAGAGATAGCTGTAATTTAACAGACAACCCTTAAAGTCAAAAAAGCCCATGAGGTTAAAGCAATGAATTCTAATAGAAACATCAGGCTCTGTGATAGGTGGCAGAATAGCTGTTCATGGAGCTGAAGAACTTAGCAAAATGGAAAATTTGGATCAGACCTGTAAGACCCATGATCTTCACTCATGTGGTCATCTCTACTTGACAACAATTGGAGCGCCGGACTGAAATCTCAAGGTCCAAATCAGGAGCACAAGGAGAGAGAGCACGAGCAAGGAACTCAGGACCGTGAGGGGTGCACCCACACACTGAGACAATGGGGATGTTCTATCGGGAACTCACCAAGGCCAGCTGGCCTGGGTCTGAAAAAGCCTGGGTTAAAACCGGTCTCGCTGAACATAGCGGACAATGAGGACTACTGAGACCCCAAGAATAATATCAATGGGTTTTTGATCCTACTGCACCTATTGGTTTTGTGGGAGCCTAGGCAGTTTGGATGCT